TGATATTGATAGATAGTAGTGACCAATGCATGTTAGTTCCTTTTGTAATGGAGTCGGTGATCTTACCCTGTTTCATTGCTTGTTTTCCTTTCGTTTTTGTTGGGATATTATCTGTATGTCCTGTTTTCTTGGGTGAAGTTGTTTTCGTTGGATTGGAGTTTTCCTTCTAGTATCTTTTGTAGGGTTGGTTTGCTGTGTAGATATTGTGTAAATTTAGTTTTGTCATGGAATATTTTGTTTTCTCCATCTATGTTGATTGAAAGCTTTGCAGGGTATAGTAGTCTGGGTTGACATTTGTGATCTCTTAGAGTCTCCATGATACTTGCCCAGGCCCTTCTGGCTTTCATAGTTTCTGATGAGAAGTCCGGTGTGATTCTGATAGGTCTACCTTCATATGTTACTTGGCCTTTTTCCCTGGCTGCTTTTAATATCTTTTCTTTGTTCTGTAGATTTAGTGTTTTGACTATGATGTGACATGTGACGTGATGTGTTTCTTTTCTGGTCTAGTCTATTTGGAGTTCTGTAGGCTTCTTGTATATTTATAAACATCTCATTCTTTAAGTTGGGAAAATTTTCTTCTATGATTTTCTTGAAAATATTTTCTGGACCTTGGAGCCTGGAGTCTTCTTTTTCATCAATTCCAATTATTCTTAGATTTTGTCTTTTCATAGCGTCCTTGATTTCTTGAATATTTTGTGATTGGAACTTTTCTGATTTTACTTTTTCTTTGAGAGAAGTATCAATTTCTGCAAGTGTGTCTTCAGCTCCAGAGATTCTCTCTTCCATCTCTTGTATTCTGTTGGTGATGCTTACTTTTGTGGTTCCTGATCTTTTCTCCAAGTTCTCCAGCTCAAGGGTTTTCTCATTTTGTGTTTTCTTTATTGATTCTAATTTTGTTTTCATGCCTTGCACCATTTCTTTCATCTGTTTGAATTTGGATTCCTGTCTCTCTACGATGGTCTCTACTTCCTTGTTCATTTCCTTTTTATATGCCACTAATTTTATCTCTACTTGTGCCTCTATTTGTTTGGCTATGTTTGCCTGTGTTTCTTTAAGGTTTTGTCTATTTCTTCTTTCTTTACCTCCAATTGACTGGCCATTGAAAGATTTGTTCATTTTCTCCTTATGAGCCTCAAATAATTGGGTAAGCATGGCTTTAAGGTCATTTTCCTGTGCTTCTGATGAATTGGAGTAGCCATCTATTTTGGGGTTTGCTGGTGAAGTCATGATGTCCTGATTTATGTTGGAAGTGTTCTTTCACCTACCCTCGCCATTGGCTTATCTGAAACCTTCCCTGTTTGTTTTTGGATTCTGCAAATCAGACTGGTACTGTCTCTCTCTGGCGTCTGGAGAGTTCTTCAGCAAGCTGAGAGAGGTCCCGTGTCCTTAGCGTGTGCTGAGGACTAGCTGTACCTGTGGGAGGAAAGTACGCAGGCGCAGACGGGGCAAATGCGCGCGCGCGCGCGCGCGCGTGTGTGTGTGTGTGTGTGTGTGTGTGTGTATGTGTGTGTGTAGGTGTTCGTGGACGTGTATCTCAAGGGACAGAGTGATGGCTAATGTTGAACCCTTGAGTGTGTGGGAGAGGCTCTGCACTGTACATGTTGCAGGTGCTAGTGATGATCGCAGCGCAATTTCTGGCATTAACTGCCTTAACTCCTCAATTAGACCCACAGAGCAGGAACTTCAATGTCACAAGTGCCCCTCTGTTTCCCAAAGTGGGTATATGGGTGGGAGGGGGTTTGATGCCTGGCTTCTGTTTTAGAAGGACCCAGGATCTGGGGATTTGCAGATTCTCAAGGGTGCACTCACTTACAGGCAGGTCACTTGGCAGAGATCAGGGTATCTGGGCTCTCTGCTCTCTGGTTTGGCCCTGCTTCTTTGATGTGCTCCGCCAGCTCCGTGCTGCTGTCACTGCCAGGTTATGAGGTCTTGCTGCAGCTGGAGATTTCAAGGTGGTCACGTCAGTAGTAATCGGGGTAAACAGACTTTCTGTTTTCTGGTTTGGCCCTGGTTAGTCTTAAACTGGAGGGCTGATGTGCCCCGCCAGCTCAGTGCTGCTCCACCACCTGGTTAGAAAGTCCCGTTGTAACTGGAGACTGGGTTGCTGGTCCAGATGTTTTCTGGGAAGTCCTGGGGTCTCTTCACTGTGCTCTCCCAGCGCCTGGTGTGCCTAGCTAGTGTGGCATTTCTGTCTGGTTTTGGTGAGTATATAGCGTATTTTCTGTCACTGTGGGATTGGGCAGGCCGTACTGTCAGTGATTGCGATCCTGTGGAGCTAGTATGGTGTCTAGCAGACTTGGGCCCTGGGAGAATGGTGCAGCCACCGCACGGATCTGGGACTCCGAGACAGGTACTGCTGGCACCTGCCGAAATAGGGCTTGGAGCTCCACCACAGCCACTGCAGATCCCAGGCAGTTACATCTGCGCAGAGAGAGATGATTAGGCTGTGCCGAGGAGGAAGGCAGTCTGGGGGAGGGGAGTGCCGTGAGATCAAAGGGTCGTTTCTCACCTTCCCCAAACAAGTCTCCGGGTAACCCGAGACAAAAGTTTTCGCCTCCTGCGATGTTCCCTGTTGTTTAGGAAGCCCCGCCGTTGTTTTCCTGGATTAGAGGTCCTTCCACGCACCAACTCAGATGGTTAGCAATTCCACAGCTCAGAAACTGTGTGTGCTAGTCGCCATCTTGGCTCCGCCTCCCACTTTTTATTCTCAAACAGAGAGAACGCCTTCATTCTGGAGGCTACACAGTGGCCTTATCCCTAAAGGTTTTGTCTTCAATTTTTCTTCCTTTGATAGGTTAGAGTTACCAGACTATAACTTGGACAGTAAAAAAAAAAAAAAAAAAAAAAAAAAAAAAAAAAAAAAAAAAAAAAAATTCACCTAAATTCAGTTACCAAGCTGTTCTGTACTCCTTACTGTGCCCAACATCCTCTTGGATCTAAAAGAGGAGCTGAAGATCTCTTTAAGAAATCAATAAACCAAGAGTAAAAGCCAAGGTTGTCAACTTGGTATTTGCATGATGGTGGCTAATAACCACTGTTCCTTATGAGGCAGAATCACCAGGGACCCAGAGCCTTCTTCCTGGGTCTTTAGTGTCTTTATTTATACTTCCAAATAAACCTTTCAGATGTCTGGGGTATTGGGTTGTTAAGAAAGTAGAATTTATGACTTTTTTTTTTTGAGACAGGATTTCTCTGTGTAGCTCTGGCTTTCCTGGAACTCATTCTGTAGACCAGACAGACCTTGAACTCAGAGATCCATCTGCCTCTGCCTCCCAACTGCTAGATTAAAAGTGTGAGCCACCACTGTCCTCATGACCTCATTTAATATTAACCCTCAAGTCCCAAGCAACTTAGTCTGTTCCAAAGACACTCCTAGACACTAAGGGTTTCTGTGTAGATGAGAAAAAAAAAAGGCATTAATGCAAGTCTTATTGGTGGCTAGCTATGCTTTGGGAGGGAGAAGAGTTTGGGATATCCTAACTACTAAAAAGTTGGGTAGATTGGCAGCCAGTCACTGAATCACTTGGACATTCCCTTCTGCGGTGGGTTGTTTGCAGATAGGAATTCTGAAGAGCTCTAGTGAACAGTGCTCAACACAGGACCATTGCCTAGGAAATTCAACCAAAGCAGCAGAAACTTGTCTGGCAGTCCCAGCCTTCTCTGTCTACCATTCCCAGCTTAACTACACAGCAACAAGAATGAATGTGCCTGTTGTTTTTTGGCTTTTGACAATGGATCCCACAAATCACATCTCCAACTTGGCATTGATTTCCTGGACTCGTTTTGGGAAGTAGAGCAAGCTCTCCCTCCAGCCACTTATCATCTAAATTCTCTTCCCTTCCTTTCCCCAATGTGTGGTTCCTGGGGCCCCTGGCTTATGCATAATTTACAGTAGGAAGGTGATTGGGTTGGGAAGACAACTGGGGGAAGGTTAAGTGGTTAGATGGTGGAAGGGCATTTGCATTTCAACCTTAAAATATTAAGCATGCTTTGGGGAGACCCTTGGGATTTTACATAAACTATGGTTTGGGAAAATAACAGATTCTCCTCAGCAGGTGGGATAGAGACCAGGGGGCACTTGGCATCCTTTTGGCTTAGGGATCTATTATATTTGGTGTAGGGGAATAAGTTTTTTGACAGCCATCCTTGTAAACCTTGAAAGAGTCGCTGTCACTTACTCTACCACTGTGTATTTATATTGTCTACAGAACAAATGAGCTGTCTGTCGGCAGCTGACAAGGTCAGGGAAATGGTATGACCCCATTTGTTTCTCTGCTGGTGCCAGATTGTCTGCCTGGGCTTGAACTCCCATAAAGCTCAGGTACCTGCTTGTTTCTTCTCCAGCACTGGAATTACAAACACTGCTCACCAGGCCCAGCTACTTCACGTGGGTTCTAGGGATCAAATACAAGCCTCCACGCTCACGCAGCTAGCACTCTACTGACTAAGCTATCTCCCCAAACCACAGATTACTATCGTGCGTAATGCTCATTGCATGATTTCAGCTAAACATTTGACATCAATATTACTTACACTTATAAAGTTATTCCTCAGCCTTTATTGCATTCAGTTTTACACTTAAAAATATTTTCTACAGCAGTATTTTTCCTCCTTTTCTGCAGAGTGTGATGAGATCTATTTCTAACGCTCCTCCATCAGCCTGTCCTCCTATGCTAATAAGCTGCGTAGGCTATCAACAGTTCTTAATGACTTGTCCAGAGATCGTAGAGTCTAGATGCTATGTGTAATTGCTATCAGGTTTTCCTTAAGAGCTAGTGGGTCTGTTTTATACTGTAGAATCACGTTCTTTGTAATTTATTGATGCTCTTGGGTTTCTTCAACTGCAAGCATGGCTAAGCCATCAGGAGGCAGTACTTCTCCATAGAAATCTTTGCCCGCTTGCCCGTGCCCTGTTCATCTCAGTTTCGTGGTTCAATGACTATGAATGTGACACATCACTTACCTTTCCCCTGGCCATCAGGGACAATGGTAAATCTCAGCATCAAGTGTTCGTACTGTCCTGCTAATTCCACGTGTAGTAGATAATCAAGTGACCCCTAGTCGCCACCGGAAGTAAACAGTAAGTACGGTGCCTATGGCGCAGCACACTGTGAGCCAGCTTCAATAGGCTGTGAGTCCTTGCAAGTAAGTGCACAGAGAATGTCCTGTTGTGACTAGAAGCAGTAAGATGCCCTGGGAAGAGATGAGTGACCCACTCACTTGACTGGATTAACCTGCTACTTGGTACCTGAGCTGCAAAGGGGGAAAGAGGCATGCTGTCTATGGGGCAGCATCCAGGGTACCGGCGAGGAACATTTTTGATCAGAGCGTCTCCAGCGAGGTGTGGCAGCTGGACGATGAGAACACACACGGACAGTCTGCCTCTTCTTTTTATTCGTCATGTTTAGCTTAGCTTTCAAAGTTTAAGCTAAAGACAGAAATGAGAGTCTGAAAAACACACATTGCCACCCTCACATCCCACATCTCTAAGCTTTCCGAAACTCCATTCATCAGAAAAATCTTTACGCAGACAACAAAAAGACGAAGGTCTTTTAAGGACCATTCCTCCTGCCTTTGTCAAAAGCATAGTTTCAGTCACATTTAATGCCTCACTAACTTCCTAACAGAAGTCAAAGGAAGTACAATATTTTTTTGTCAAAAAAGTAAAAACGGTTTTGTTTGACATAGTATGTGAACTTTACAATGTACATAGTAGGTCAAACTCTCAAAACAGAGGCACATTTCCTGCCGCGTGGAGGTCACACAGAGTATGTGGCCACTCTGAATGCAGAAACCTTTCCATCATCTTTTCCTCTTGCATCATCCATACCAGAGGACCAACCGGCATCAGGACTGTGCGGGTTAAGGAGAAACACTGAAGCTACCATTAGAGAAAAAGGCTGCAGGGTGTGTCTAATAAGGAGAAGTGCAGTTGCTCCTTCAGGCAAGTGGTGTCTGGCCTTCCACAGGCTGTCCCAGGCAGTAGCGCCTTATCCTGTAAGGGTGGCTCCGTCTTGGAACGTTGTTAGCTTGCAATTTTCTTCAGGTTTGACGTTTTGGTGGCACTTCTGGCTTTGACGTTCTTCTTAGGGCTGGCAGCTTTGGGAACGGGTGGCCTTCCCTTTGGCTTTGTGGGGTTGCTGCGGCTGGTGCGGCCAGCCGTTCGCTTCTTGTCCTGAACGGTCCTCTGCTGTTCGCGAAGCCTCTCTTCCCACTGCTGGGGGGCAATTTGTAAGCGTAACTATTAAATACGTGTCACCCTTTTATGCTGTTCTAATACCAGAACTGACCCGTGAGCTTTCACGAAAGTCCTGTCCCACTGTAATATCTCTGCAGTTTCTGCAGATAGCCTATGGTGACCAATTATCCTGCGTCCAGTGACTGGAATGTGTTCTCTATGCAAAGAAGTCTCAGCTCTCACAATCTCGTAGAAGCTTACCACAGATCTGAGCACCGTCGTCACAACCAGTAAACAACAATATAGAGGTTATTTGCAGAGGTCCATAGAGCTGCTAAAATCTCCCGCCAGAATTCAGCATCCTCCAACTGTTTCTAGAGCCCAGGCCCGAGGTGTGTTTCTGATGGCCAGTGTCAGGATACAGTAGCTCTGCACAGCAAAGCTTTCTGTAATGGTGCTGTTATTTCTAAAAACGGGAGTCTATGTAGGCTCCCTGCAAAGCCCAGTGATTTCCTACATTGAACTAATCCTATATCCAAAGAAAAACAAAACCAATACCTTCCTGTTTTCACTGGGTCTTCTAAGCTCCCGTGTGGGTAATGCTGACCACGCACAGCACTGCACTCTACAGATGCCTTTTGTTGTGTAGATGTGCCTGCCATAAGCTTTAAAATGTTAGGCGCAGTAAGAGACAATATCAAGAATATACTTACTGCAGCCTTGCACGATAATGAAAATGGTCTCTCTCAGAATCTCTTACTGTATTGTGTTGTATTTTTGAGCTGCGATTGACCGCAGAAAAACAAAACAAACATGAGACACGGAGGCAGATAACGGAGTTGCTATAACTCACAAAAGTGCCCAGACCACTGGGGAATGAGTCACCTTACAGATAACCAAATTTCCCTGAGAACAAAAGTTGTGGTGTTTATTTATTTATTTATTTGGTGTATGTACACACATACGTGCAGTGTGGAGATCAGAGGTTGAATTGATTTCACCATTGATTTTTTTTTTTTCATTTATCTTCTTGACTTGGGAACCAAAAATGCAATTCTGATGGAATTCTGTATCTCTTAACAGTGAACACACTTACTGAGCTCCCAAGTGTCTGAGAGGAGTTTTAGGCATGGGTCTAATACAGTAGTGTCTGCCTCTATTTTGCTGCCATGCTCAGTGTTTAGCTGTTTTCTCTGTAAGGTAATTCTTGGTACATCCCCTTGTCCTGCCTGAGAATTTTTATTCTTGCAAACTGAAAAACTGGGCAGGAATGATTTCTTTAGTGAAACCAAAATACAAATGATCCTCAATATGTCCAAATTTATTGTGAGGAGCAAAAATTCCAAAACGGTTACCGTTTTTAATTGCAGGTGATTTTCACCTGAGGTGAGGGAAATTATTCTAACTCTAATGTAACCATCAATATGACAGTGATATTACCATTTAAATTATGCATTTGACCACAAGCGAATTATTTTTGCCCAGAGACATGCCTGACATTTTTTTAAATGCAGTAGAGTATGGTTTGTTGTGGTATCTGTTTTAGAAGTATTTGCACATCTACAAATATATCTCCATTTTAACCCCAGTGAATACTGAATTTCTATGCTGTTTGCTGTATTTATAATGTAATGCAATAAAGAAACAAAAGGGCCTAATTTAACCTGGAAATAACTGGTGCCTTATAACCGAGTACAACTGTGGCCACTGTGATGTTGGACAATAGTCTTTGCTAACAATTCCAAGTAAATTGGGTGTGATTCTTATTTTTTTTATTCTGTTAATGTGTTTATTTACTCACTCCACAGCCTGATCGCAGCGCCCTCCCTCCTTTCCTCCACTCCTCCCATCTCTCCCCCCACCCCTCTTCCTTTCTTCTCAGAGAAGGGGATCCCACTCCCTCCCCCCCCCCCCCCTGGGTATCAATCCACCCTGGCACATTAAGTCACAGCAAAACTAACTGCAACCTCCCCCACCGTGGCTCTTAACTGCAGAGTCAGGTGGCAGTTGCTTTAGCTTTTACTAGCTCCTCTGAAAGCCTGGAGAGAAGCCAATGTGGGGTGGGGGGGCAGTCTGTAGAATTTTTCACCATCAATTCTACCCATTCCCACCATCTTGCTAATTATACTTACCGTGGACCTCCTACTAAGTTGATCTCTCCATTTTTCAACTAAACAATTTTCAAGAAGCATCATCCTAGAAAAATAAAACATGCCTCGATACAGAAAATCACACTTGTTTTTAAGCAGCCCTTATCCCCATAACCTGTGTATTCGCTATTAATAATCTATGGAATTTCCTTGTCCTTATACGTTTTTCTGACCACACTGTATATGTAAGCAATATTTTACTTTAACTTTCATGGTGGTGTTTGTTTTCTGCGATGATTAGTAAAACTCAAAGTAAACTATGAACAATGCATAGCACAACTGTGGATATTCACTTAGCTGTTCAATGTTCGTCATTTATTTATCTAACATTACTCTTGTTGTGTTAACTCTGGCTTCAGAGGATCTAATGCCCTCTTGTGGCTTCCATAGGAACTGCATACATATGATGCACAGCCATGGCAAAATTGCCACACGTGAAGATACGTAAATCTTTTATTAAAATAATTTTCTTCAACACGGTGCCAATTGTTTTTTTTAAAAAAAAAAAACAGCCTTATTTTCATCTAATTCGCTGACATCAAAATGTTAATTGAAAGTAGAATCTTCTGTTCACTTGAACTTTGGAAATACAAAAGTAAATTTTAATGTTTATTCACCATTTGTACTTATGAGAACTTTCTATGTGGATTTATGCAGACACTTACATGTCACGTTCACAACACTCTAAATGCTAAATTTAGACCATAATTTCTCCATTTTCATTGAATCCATTACAGACACAGGTCCCTTTCTATTTGCTCCTGTGACTGTTGTGCACATATCACCAGCTGACATTCGCAACAGTGTTTTTCCCTTGGGATTTCTTGCATTGGTTTTGTGCTTACAGAGCACATTGTTTTTAGGTGTCATATTTTTAACCATCTAATTTTGTCCCTTTTTTTGACCCTGGTTTTAAAATGCTCACCAATTTAACCCATTTAAATTTGTTTCATAATGCAGTGAGAAAGCAAACTATTTTTCCAAACAAATATGTTTGCACCTAACACATTCATACTCTATTGTTTCGTCACATTTTCTTCATAATAAAATATTCTTTTATTCTACTTGTTTTCGAGAATTAGTTGGGTCTGCCTATGTTTCCACCTATTCAGAAGGAAAATTGAGGCCAGAAGCTTGCAAGTTTGAGGTCTGTCTGGGCTACAGAATGAGTTCAAGGTCAGCTTTATGACACTGTTTAGAATAAAAAGTGAGCTGAGGGCTGAGACTTAACTAGAGGGTGAAGAGCTTGGCTCACCGAGTGTTCAAGGCCCTGGGAGCAATCCTCCATGCTGGAGACAAAAGAAAAAGGAGGCATTTCCTTTGTTTTTTTTCTGCATGCCTATTTGTACACTTCCTCATTCCAGAAAAGTAACTTTGTGCCAGTTTTGTGTCTCTCATAAGATAGATATCTAATTACTCTCAAAATCTTTTTTACATAAGTCCCAGTTATCCAAGATATTTGCACTGGGTGAGCCTGTAATCCACTCAACTGCCCAGAAAGAATTTAATGATTAATAGCCTAGTATGTCCTCAAACGAACCCTGGTCAGCTACAGCACATGTAAACAGAATGCAAGAGATGAGCCCAAGGCACTGACCTCTTCTTGAGAGAGACAGTTACGAGGAGAAGGATGGTTTGAAAGCTAAGAATGTGCAGCTCTATGGGAGGGGAATTACCAACTGATGGGATAAACACAACTAGGCACTGAGATTATGATAGTTTCAAAAGATGCAGTTGTGTTTCTCTTTAGAGGAACAAAGTCTTGGGCTTTATCATCAAGCCACATATAAGCATGGAGGCCAGAGAATGAAAGGGGTGGCCTGTTATTTAAGAAGAAAGGTGTGATTTCTCTAAATTTAAGTTACAGCAAGTTATGGGTTCTATACTAAGATGTGAGCTGAAAAGTTCAAGTCTGCATTCTAAAGATTGTACTGATGAATGGGAGGCAAAAGAAAAACATGGGTAGACAATCCCTCCCAGCTGGAGGTATGCAGATTATTCAATTATGCTTGGATTTATAATGATTTAATTTGACAGGTCTACATTCTCAGATCCAGAAACCAACTTAAAGTTTCCACATGTGTTTGTGCATGGGAAATGTTCTGTAAAAGATACTTCAAAGTACATGTTAGGAAAATATGTACAACTTTAGTCTAATAGCTGCTGGTAAAACTCTGAGCTCCTGAGCAGTGCTTTAAAATTCAAACCCCTTTCCTGCGGAGACTGATGCCACAACTTAAAAAAATAACCACTGTTACTCAAAATAATTTACTCATAGATTATTTTAGACCACCTAATGGATTCTGAAATAGGTTTTCAAAGATTTTATTTTAATGTTTTTTTTTTCTAAATTTCCTTCAACCTATTAACTGGCTTTCATTATTCAGATTGTGAATAAACTGATATTTAGGAAATATAATGTTCCAGGAGAGACAATTCCCAAAATAGTTTTTAAATGTCAGCTGGCATTACTTTGTTCTCTAAAACCATGACCCACTGAGTGGGTCTCTGTATGCAAATCCTCTGCTCCCTGCCACCTACCTTGAACGCCACTCATAACACATGATCAGGACATCCTGATGGGGCAGGATATGCGGACATTGGCAGGAGGAGTTCGTGATGAGGGGGACTTGTGTTCGAGGGATGGGTGAGGAAGACTTGAAGATCTCTTTCACGTCTACCACTGTTGTCACTTCATTGCAACCACTTCTCTGGACGGCTTTTATTTTGGCATGAATAACTGCAGTTTAAAACACAAGTAAGTGCTGTTGTTGAAGCCTTTGGGAGAAACTAGAGACGATGTTTTTTGGTTCACATCCAGAGCCTCTCTTAAAGTGTCACTCTCTATAATTACGGTCATGTCCAAACACCCCAGCACAGAAAGGAAGCCCACACTGCTAAATGCAAAGCCTCCTATTTTTGTCAACATTGTCCTAAAACTCCCCAATCACACCACGAAATGAAAAGGGAATTAGAAGGCCAGGGTTAGCCTGAAATTGGGCTTACAGGTCAACCAAACTTTCATGTAAACATTTTTATCCATTTCTACTTTCCCTCTGAGGAGTTGGAGGATAGGCATATTATCAGATTTGGAAGTCACGGTAAAGCTTGTGTTCTTTCAGTTGTCCATCTTATGTTTACAGAGGAATTCATTAGTCATAACTACCAGGTCCCTGAGGAATGCTGGTTTTCAGCTAACCACCATAATCATCCTATAGCCCAGGCTGAGCTCATTTCTGGATGTCTGGACAGCTTGAAACCTAACCTTAACATACTCCAACCACAAGGACTCTGTGATAGCTGCTGTTCTCAGTGCATTAAGCTCAGAAATTGACAATGCAAGGCCCAGGGTGAGTGGAGATGAGATTGTTATTGCAGATGGATGTGCAGGTCACCACCTTGGATCAAGTTTTAAGTTCTAGAGTTGTTGGGTCCTCACTATTACTTAATACTTCTAGTTGAGTTACAGACCAGCCCAACACAGGTCTGTTTTAGATTCCAGCATTGGAAACCGGCTTGAGGGAGGCCAAAAATGCATCGACTGAACAATTTATCAACAAGGTGACTCCAAAGCATGGCACCCCAGAGGTAGCAGGGCATTCTGCTTAGACACAGAGGCTGGATCGTGGCAGATGAGGAACTAAGCCGAACAGATCAAGACAATATCTACATGGAACATGTTTCAAGGAAAAAAAAAGCTGCTTGGAAGAAAATAAGTTTTCTGTTGTTGAATTGTCCACATGGGTTATTGTGACTCTCAAATCTGACAGCTGACAACAATCCAGATTGTTTCCCCAGAGTTCTGTATCTCCTTCCTCTCTCACATTGTAGATGATCTCAAGTTCCTTACTGATGCGTGATTTCAGTTAAAATATGAAAACCAAGTTGATAAAGAAACTACACCTTTCCTGTTACTTTTTGTCATTATGTTAGGAGAAATAAATTAAGAAATGTAATAAAATATTAACTATCCCAAGTAGATTTGTTTCCCCCTTTCTTTTCATGGATGTGTGCATGTGTGTGTTTGTGAGAGAAAGAGAGAGAAAGGTGTACATGCATACATGGTACATGTATGTACCAGAGCAAGCCATTAAATTGCATCAGATCTCAAGTACACATTTTAAAAGAACATAGTTAAATTTAATTCCAAATGATGGTAGTAACATTTTAAATATTCAGAACATTAAAATACCATGGTTGATTGGTTTTTCCTTTGGAGGAAGTACTAAATGGTTCATTCAAGTAAAAGAGAGGGAGTCTGAGCTTCTGTAGCTGTTGATGAGGAAAAAGACACAGGGTCAGGCCTTCATCCTCTGGTCAGATAAACAAACCTTGGTCCAAACCCTTGTCCTTCCTTTAGCGAGACAAACCAAGAAAAAGAACAGTGGCCTCCACCGCTTCTGGCACAGCCCTTTTCACTGAGGCCATTTTTATGTGCGTGATTTATTTTGTGTTTGCTTTGATTCAGCCAGAAAAGCAAGAAGCCTTGTGGTTGTTGAGTGGCCCAGAAACCATGTAATTACTCATCCACCATCCCCTTCTCCTTGACTCATGGAGCCTTGGTGTGCCAAGTCCCCAAAGCAAAATGCCCTTAGGAGAAGACTTACCATAGCTGTAGTTTTTGTTCAGGTAGGTTGCCAAAGTTGGCTTCACCTTTTTGCACTTGCACCGGTCTGAAAGAGACACAAAAAACATGGGAAGCAGGGAAGAGACATCATTCTGGGCACAAACAAGGAAAGCCTGAGGATGGAACGTACCGGGGCTCAGGCGTTTGCAGTCAGCATCAAAGGACCTCTCCTGCACCATCATATCTGGTGTGATGTCTATCCACTTCACATCTGAAACACAAGCAGGGCCAAGAGGATGCAGTCAGTGACTGGCTCCTCTTACTCAAATGGAACAGGGAACCATCGGAGGCTACGAGCCAGCACAAACACGCAACGTGGTATTACCCTAGTAAAATGAACATGTGATTGTCACCTGCTTTTCCCATGGCACCTCAGGCTTAAGAAGTCTGTGAGTCCAGGACTTGCTCACTCCAACGGAACCTGGTGTGAATCAACATCCACCATACCAGCCCAGATCAGTCTGAGCCCTCCCTCCCTCCCTGAGCCACCCTGATACAGAGGCTCCAAGTCAACAGGCCCCCAGTCAGAACAACCAGACTTTCTCCACGTTGCTGCCTCACACCACAGTGCAGGAACAGTCCACAGCCGCATTACCAAAATTACTAAGCGCAACTTCCAGGCATTTATGAAATTTAAGCAATTTTCTAATTTAAACTTTTTCCTGGTCTTCGGAATGAGAGAAGGGTTTAAAAGCAAGGCTCGTAAACCATGGCACTCCCCTACAGTCACATCCTAGACCCAGTCTCTCTAAACAGAAGATGACCCGCCTCAGGAGAAGCCTCGATAAAGTAACGCAATAATGTCCTCGAGAAGTGAATTCAGAGTGCTCCTTCCAACAAAAACAGTAACGCAGCAGAAAAGAGACCAGCAGGAAGTGACGCGGTGATCAGACTCACCAGTATGCCACAGTGGTCTGCTCAGTGACCACACCATAGACGCGGCGTGGGGCTGACCCAGAGCCACTGCATTTACAAACTTTACTCCTGGTGGGGAGTGAGAATTATTATTGCTCTCTGAGAAAGAACTGCCAGTCCGCACTAAATGAGCGAGTATTGGCCACCCCGTCCGTAGCGGGACTGACTCAAGCAGGAGGTAAAGTGAAAAACAAACAAACAAACAAACAAACAAACAGACAGACAAAAAAAAAAAAACACGCTTTAACAGTGACCCATATCCGCAGTAATATTTGTTGGCCTCGGCTATGTTTCTGCTATTTATATTAAATAAAAACACATTTATTTTTCCCCCCTCAAGCAACCTTATTCCCTGCGTCCTTCAGGGAGCTTTGGCACTTTTGCCTGCCTTAAGAACTCCCTGTAAGGTAATCTTCCCTGCCCTTAACTCTCCCCAAGGCTCGGTGAACTATAACGGGACAGGAAATGGTCAGCTCTACGCGCAGCCACCTGGTTCTCACAGGATTGTGTAGGCCCCTGGAATACTCTGTTGGTCTCCCTACCACCTCCTCTTGCCTTACCCTCCGGAAGATCAGTGACAATAGCCTCGGGAGAGATGCACACCCCGCGGTCATAAACGGGCAGCTCATCGCAGGCCAGGCTCTCAGGCCAGCTGTGGTTGTACATCTTCATGAGCGGCTCGCAGTCGTCGCGCGCGCGCTCGCACACGGACTTGCAGGGCTTGATGGGGTCGTGCAGAAACTCCAGGGTGCAGATGGGTGCGTACATGGCGCAGAGGAAGAAGCGCAACACGGAGCTGCAGTTGACGTCCACCAGCTCCTCGTACTGCTCTATGGCTAGGATGGCGTTCTCCTGCGTGCTGTGGTGCAGGTGGTTGGGCATCCGGGTGATGTTCCAGGGCATGTGCCTGCACATGGGGATGCGCACGGCCTCGCAGGGCGCGCCGCGCACGCCCAGCGCCAGGCGCAGCCACAGGCACAAGGCCACCAGGATGGAGAGGAGCATGGCACTGTCCTCCTGCGCCGCCGTCCGCAGGAAGGACCCTTTTCTTCCAGCACCGCTGCGCTCCCTTTCTCTTCACCTAGAGGGTGAACTTTCCTGCCCAAGCTCTGGTCTGCACTGATGAAGAGTTCTGGGGTCTGGCTGCCAGTCTGCCCCGGACCACGGAGCACCAGCAGAGCCAGCACTCAGCCTCCAGAGCACCGACCCCGCGCAGGAAGCTCCAGTCTCGGACCCCGCAGCTCGGAGCGCAGCGGGCCACGGCCATTGTGGGACCCTATTTATCCAGACGCGTCCCCTGACGTGGGCTCGGCAGTCTTGGCAGCTGCGAGTACAGAGCAGGCTCCCGCTCCTCTGCTCCACCCCCAGCCTCTTGTGCTGAAGCGGTGACATCACCCCCGTCGCTCCGCAGCCAAGGGCTACAGTCCTGCATTTCCCCAAAGCCCCTTCTTTTTAAGGCTGGCTAGTACTTCTTCTTCAGATCAAGAAAAGGAGCGCCTTGCATCCAGTCATTTGGGATGCTCGTTACTAGCCGGTGCAGGGGAGACTTTGAAGAGAGAAAAACACACTTTGCAAAGTAAGTCCTTAAAGTTTCCCAAAGAGTTGGAGCAACGTGACCCAGCTGTCGCCCTTTAATTGTGAAACATTTGGGTTTTTTTCTTTCCGGTAGGGGGCGAGAGAGGCGCTTGAGTAGTGAGGGCTGTGTGGCGCAGGGAAAGCCTAGCCGAGGTAGGTGATGGAGTCAGCCCTGACAGTTTATATAAGCCTTCCTCCGCCGACCCCACGTTGTGTGGAGTCTGTTGTTGTTTTGTTGCTGCAACTGATGTTGTCTTGTGGCCAGTTGTCTTAGCTCTTGTTCAAGTTTTTACCAGGTTGGTGCCTGCTCCAGGAACTCAGAACTGCCCACCGGCTGCAACGGCATCTTTGTGTTGGAGAAGTTTCTCTACTCGGTTCCTTTCTCTAATACTAATTTCTGAGGCCAACATGAGTGGAAACCAACAGAAAACAAAGACAACGTGAGATGCCACATTCTGAAAGATTTCCCCAACCCAACAGCCTAATTATTATTATTATTATTGTTATTATTTATAAACTGCAGTATTTTATCCTCTTTGCATTAGAAAGAGCCAGCAAAATTAATGCTGGTCTCACTTTTCACAGAAAAGAGGTGTGTCTGTTGTCTGTTTAAATCAAATGTCTGGCAGCCAGACAGCAAAATTTCTGATGTAAATTTGCTCTCACCATTAACAATAAGAAAACAAGTTCTTTGAAAGTTAATCTTTAAAACTGTGGTTGAACTTGAAGTCCAAGTTTAAGGAAGTTCTTTAGCCTCTCCAAAGGTGAGACCCACAAGTTAGCTTAGGTGTGGATCTGACTGAGGATTAAAATAGCTGGGCAAAAATGGAACAAACCAAAGACAAACACAACTGCTTTTGTCCTTGTTGTTGTGGAAGGTGTAGAGACAAGCACTTCAAGGCATCAGGACCCCTAAGGTACTATTTGGAAGCTGCCCAGAGTACCTAGTCCATCCAGGCAATGAACTGAAAAAATATTCTTGTTTCCAACAGGGTGGGTTTCATCTCCCAAAGATGGCAAACCATGATGAGGAGATGGCTCAAAATACATCTCAAAATTTTCCAGTAGTGGATTCCCAAGTGTAAACCCCAGCACAGAGGAAAAAAAATGATTTTTCAGATTAACTTTCTAGGACGGAGAGAGAGCAAGAGAGTGACAGAGAGAGAGAGAGAGAGAGAGAGTGCAGAATTTCCCACTTTCCTCCTGGCTTTCAGGGGAGGGCACATTTGGAGAGGACTCAGTCTCAGGCAGCCAATTTGAGTTTGTTGCACATTAACATAAACTATGCAGGCCCCACAACACCCCAAAGTGTCATGGGCTTCCCTGGTGTTCTGGGATTGGATTGCCTAGTCCTTAATAAAGGGAGGGCTAGGGATGTGGTTCAGTGGTAGAGCACTTACATGGCGGAAAAGAAGCCCTAAGTTCATTGCAAGACAAAAAGAAAACAAGAAAAGAACTAAAAGAAGGAAAATGTTAAGACACATTTGTGACAGAGGGTTAGGGCCTCTAAAGAGCTCTGAAGAGCTCAGCCCAAGTTTGCCCCCAGCCTGAGGAGGCTGTCTTCAGTGCTATTCGTAAGCCTGCCTATCTGGCCCACTGGCAATCTGTCCCTGTGTTTTATAGACTGTGTTATATGAACAGCAGCTGAGGGACTCACAAGAAATTTAATCTTCTTCCTCCTGCCCTTCAAAAAGGCCAGAATCCTAGCTTTAGCACTAAAGCCACTGTCCTCCGGCCGAGTTCTTCTCTGGGGTGACTCCTTTTTGGGCCCTCCATGCTTACTTCTCTCCCCTCCTAAATGCCTCGTGCTCTCCAGGATTTTGACCTCAGCCCTCACCTTACTTTTTTCCCTCCACTCCATTCCCGGTTCCCTCAATCTTGGCACTTTTGAAATTCAGGGCTGGAGAGCTCCTTGGCAAATATGCCCTGGAGAGAGGGGCCCAAAAATCATCCACCCACCCATTACCACAAATCCCCTTCAGTGACCATCTGTATGCCCTTGTCTTCCAAATCTAAAATTGGTACTTCATTCCCAAGTTATACAGAACTGTCCTTGGTTATTTCTACTTGGATATTCCACAGTCATCTCAAAGCCAGTTAGCCTAGCTAGAATTTAGCTCCTTTCCTTACTCAGGCTGAATACTCACCCACCCAAATAAGAAACCTCTGCCTCCAACTTCAATCTTTCCCTGTTTTTTCTAGCTCCACCCTACCCATCCCCATTGCCTTAACTTACCCAGGCTCTGTGGCCTGTACAGCAGCAGCTTCTTTCCTGATACCCGGCTAGTCTGTCTGGCCCTGCGTATTCTCCCCGTGACACCCGAGTGAGCTTTCTAATGCACATCCCTTAGAAGGTTCCTTCCTGGCTTTTTACGGGAGAGTGGCTCCCACAGTCTTCAATATTAATAGCCAAACAACAGCTCTTAAGACCCTAAATGATCAGGCTCCAGATTGCCTTTCTGATACTTGCTTGAACTCCAATTCCTGGACCCGTTGTTCTCTTGCCCTCAGTCAGCAACACCTGAAACCATTTCCTACCGGCTCACTCTTCTTCATTTTTTATTTTAAATGCAAATGTAAATAAATTTGTCACACAAGTGTCTTTTTAAAAACTGCCTCATCTTGTCTTGTTTTTATATAATTAATCCGAACATTACTTAAAGACGAGCCCAATTTGTTTTTACAGATGTCCCGAAATACACCAACCTCTAAACTTGAAGCTTTGACATGTAGGGACAGAGAGAGAAACTCTGAGTTGTAACTTAAAAGCAGTGTAAAGGGCTGAGCCTGCGAATTGGCCAGCGGCCACAACAACAGTTAGTGTCATTTCTTCAAGAAGGACCCATCGTGACACATTTACTTTGTAAGAAATAGGTCTCAATTTTGCCGAGAAACAAGTCACAGCAGCCAGAGGAGGGGCCGCGTGTCTGCTTTCCTCCTGAAATCGCCCCCTCTGACGGTTTGCAGATCTTGGAGAAACAGTTCCTTCTCAGCACGTTCTCTGTTCTCCGCCCCAAACCCTTTAAATCGCGATGCCCTTCAGGATGCGAGTGGCATCACTGCCGCTGCGTTTCCTGTTGGCAGCAGAGAGCAGTTAAAAAAAAAAAAAAAGCTTTAGTAGGCAACCGCCAGGGCAGAAAGAACTCCCAGGCGGTTCATGCGCCTTCCCTAGGCCTGTGTCCTGAGTCCCGGCGCCTCTGGAACGGAAAAACGGGAGAGGCCAGCTCGCCTGAGCCGCGGCCTGGAGCACACCTTCCGCCAGCGCGGAGAGAAGGCTAGGCGCACCCACGCCGGGCCCCAGCTCCCTCCTGGGCTCGGCTGACCCGGGGGCGGCGGTCACCATGACCGCGCGCTCTCCCCGCCGCCTGGTCGGGGGACCACACGGCACCTGGCTGCTGGGCGGCCTCTGGGTCTGGGCGCTGTGCGGCCTGTGCGGCCTGGGGACGGCGGGCTCCGCGGAGACCCCGCAGCCGTGCCAGGCGCCCCAGCAGTGGGAGGGACGCCAGGTGCTGTACCAGCAGAGCAGCGGGCACAACAGCCGCGCCCTGCTGTCCTACGACGGGCTCAACCAGCGCGTGCGGGTGCTGGACGAGAGGAAGGCGCTGATCCCCTGCAAGAGGTAAGCGGCTGGGAAGGGCATGCCTGGGGGCCAGGGGCTCTCCAGGTCAGGGCTTGGCACCTGTGTTAGACCTCCAGCTGCTCCAGGCTCCTCTCTACCCCCAAGAACTTTATAGGGGTACTTGAGGGCTGCATGGTCTGCCCAGCAAGGCAGAGGGAGGCAAAGAAAGGACTCACCAAGGGCAGCATGGAAAAGCCATGCAGCCCAAGTCCAAGTTAGTCCCGAGGAGGCTTCTCTCGCTGAGTCAGGCTCTTGGCAACTGGAGCCCCCTGCAGCCCAGGTCGTGTGTTTTTCTAAAAGTCACTTACAAGGGACATACATAATATTTAATATTTTTAAAAAATTACATTTGTTTATAATTTAAAAAATAAATGACACTGTGTGTGTGTGTCCCTGCCAGTGTAGAGGCCGGAGGACAGCTTAGAATTGGTTCTCTCCTCCAGTCCACCACGTGGATCATGGTACAACACTGTAAAAAGTGTGGGGAAATGATTTTTAAAACTACTTCCTCACAACTCATTACCCTACTACAATATTAAAAATTTTTTTTACACCTTTTTTTCTTTCGAAAAATTAGTTAAAACTCCCGTTAGATGTGTGTATTGCCACCTCAAAACTGAACTGATGTTAGAACATATGTGCTACCACCTTAAGACTCCACTTGGATGTAAGTGCTGTCACCTTTTACTTATTCTCCTCACTTGTCAATTTATTAATTTTTTTACTGATCACGACACTTGCAAAATGGGAGGGCATGCTAGCACATACAGGCGCGCACACACAAGCAAACAAATGGTAGTCAGTTCAACTTTCCATTTTGTGATGATAGAAAGACACTTTTCTAGAACGTCACTTTGCTTCTGGCCCCTTTAAGACCTAGTTTCTAATTTAAGATCGCCAACTGTCTCCCCCACTGCCCCCCCATAGCCTTCCTCTATCTCCCAGTGTATTTCATGCAGTCACCCTGGTGTCTCTCCACGGCACTTGCACCACAAGGCGATACAACGAATGGCCATGGTGTAAGGCCCCAGTGGGCAGTAAGGTTGATGGTAAATGGAACCATTAGTTTTAGCACAGAACCG